CACACACACACACACACACACACACACACACACACCTGCCAACCTGAGGTGGGTGAGGGAAGTGTTGATAAAAATAACATTTAGTCCCAAAGTAAGGATTGTACACGGCCTATGGACAGCATCACCAGTAAAAGCAGCGCAGTGGCTCATGAGGTAATGACCCAGATTAACAAGGTAGGCAAACATGGCGATACATGAGAGCATGCAGGGTGACATGAGGTCCACATTAGAGCATGAATATATTTCCCACCTTCAAATGTAACTAGTGACCAATTATGCTCTGGTGGCCCCTGGGGCAGAGCCATCCCTCAAAACAAAAAAAAAGTCAATGAACCGATTAAGATATGAAGATGCTAAGGTAGCACACATAAAGGAAATTAGGCTTATCCTCAGCATAAATCAACCATCTTCCTCAGGAGTGCATATCTCTGCCATCTAAGAATCATATTGTATGAGTAGATGTGCTTCTGGGGCAAAACTCCATACTACACAGTAGGAGAATTCTACCTGAGCAATGCAATAACAGCAGCTTGGGAAGATGAGAACCAATAGACAGCTTTCCCCAGGCAGGCCAGTTAACATTCAGCAGTGTAGATTTCCAAGGAAAACACACTGACCATCACCCTCAAGTGATCCATTATAGATAGGACATGCAAACTTAAAACCACAGCTCACAGCTCGAGTCGATATGATTTACCAGTAATACTGTGGGATTTACCAGTAAAACTGTGGGGTACCAACTCAGCTCTTCACCCCTCTATGGCTGCTACTGACAATCACAGTGAACTCTTCCTGTGGGCTGCGAGTTCATTGTCCATGTGAAACAAACCCAGGTTGTGTTTCAAGAGTTTTCTGAAAATCACAGTATGCCAGAGTTTGCATCCAATGCCACAGAATGAACACCTTCAACAAGAGCCACCTCTAGGATCAGCGGTAGAACACTTGCCTTGCATGCATGAGGCCCTGGGTTCGTTTCCTCAGCACCACATGTGCAGAAAAAGCCAGAAGTGGCGCTGCTTCTCAAGTGCTACAGCGCTAGCCATGAGCTGAAGAGCTGAAGGACAGTGCCCAAGGTCAGAGTTCAGGCCCCATAGACGACACAAAGAAAAAAAGTCAAAAGCAAGAGACACCTCTAGAGCACACTGCCACATCATTCTGTATCAGCTATAGAGTCTTGGTCCTTGTCCAAAATAGACTTCAAAAAGAAATGGTGGACTCTTAGTTACAGTCCACACCACTATTAAGCAGGGAATTATTTTGGTAAAAGGAGAGGATTTATGAAGTTCTTCTGCTATTAGAATATAAGGGACCATACTGCTTGAGGAAGATAATGTGATTATTTGATTCTTCCCCATACATTTAAAGAGTGGAATTAAGTAGTATTCATCTTTCTGTGCCTGGCTTATTCACATATTATAAAGTCTAACAGGTTTTCTATGTTGCCACCTATGTCCAGACTTCCTTCTTTTCTTTTTTTAATTTTTATTATTTTTATTGCTATTGTAAAGGTGATGTACAGAGGGGTTACAGTTGCATAATTTAGGCAGTAAGTACATTACTTTGGACCAGTGTTACCTATTCCTTCGTTTTTCTTGCAGTTTTTCCCCTCATTGCTCCCACAAATTCTATAGTTCATTTTCAACATAGTGTCCAGTGAGTATCACTGCTGCATTTTTTCAGCCTTTTTTTCCACCATTTCTGTGCTCCCTAGGACTCTCTCCAGGGTGGATAAACTTACATACAATTCAAAAGGTGCAGAAATAAGAAGCAGTGACAGAGGAGAAAAAACAAACACAAAAGCAAGCCTCTTGTTTCCATTTCTTAGAACTTCTTTTTAAGTTCTCAATAAGATCCTATTGTATGAAAGTAGAACTTTTTCCAATTCATCCATCAATGGAAATTAATTTTTTCATGTTTGAGGTTTTTCAAAAAAAGCTAAAATGAATATTGAAGTGCAGATAGGCCTTTGAGATCATCAATTATTTGAGTATATAGTTAAATATCTGGTTGCTGAATGCTATGATACTTTAAGATTTAATTTTCAAAATAAGGTGTATACTGTTTTCCATAGTAACTGCATTTGTAGACTCCTATCAACAATGTAGAGCATGGTCTATGATCTTTTAATTTTTGAAAGCAAGTATGCTAACTGATGCAATGTTTGCATTTTGGTTTTAATTTACATTTTAAAGACTATATTATACACAGTGGTCTTAAAAGTCAGGAGAAGCATTCCAAGATCCCTGAAGAAGAAGATAAACCATAAAAATCAGGTATTAGTATTAAAAAAACACAAGAGCCGAAGCAATTTTGTTAAAGAACAAAGCTAGAGGCATCACACCGTCACAGAGATCAGTGGACCACAATAGAGAGCCTTGATACAATTTCACATGTATGCTCAACTAGGTGAACACAGTTGGGAAAGGATGGTCTCTCCAAAGCAGTGTTGAGAAAACAAAGTATTAATGGAAAAGAATACAATTAGGCCCTTCAGACACATTATAAGGAAGAGCGTGTAGGACCTCATACCAACACCATTTACCCTTTCATTACAAATCAAATCATTATGTTGCTGTTATGAACCAGGGGATAATTGGTGCATATTCCTTTGGGAGCACCTCTTTTGAGATTTATCAGCAGTTGAAGAAGTACATATAAACAACATGAATGAATAATACTCAGGGGCCAAACTAGCATGTTCTATTTCTTGGGTAAGATAAATTGTCAGGTAACTAAAAGATTATTAGGCAAAAAATGCAGTTAAAGAATAACTATGTTGTTTTTAATTGCACATAGTAGTTGCTGATAACACTTTAGTTCTTACCTCTCTTACATGTTTAAATCGCATATATTTGGAAGTATTTGTATGAATTAAAGCTGCAACCTCATAGAAGGAAGAAAAAAGTGAAGCTATTGAGTTGATTTTTGTTTATGTAAAAGATTGCTGTTTCAAAGAGGTATGATTTTGTTTTCTGATGAATGAAGTTAATTGATGAGAACAGGCATGATTCTTTCAGTGAGGGTAAGGAAATATTTGATTCACACAATAACCTATGGCCTTATATCTTTAATATGGAAAAAGTGTTTTAAAAACAATATCTTCTTTATATAAGCATGGTTTATATCTCAGGGATTCAATATACTCAAGTACAATCAGACTGGACAGAGGAGAGAAGAACTGGACAACAAAACCATAGTTTTAGGGAAGAAAGTTAAGAAAATAAGTCAGAATGTGCTGTATACTGTGAGTGAGACCAAGAACTGAGTAGTGGTTTTAGTTAAGTTGTTACTGGGTGAAATAATATAAAATTCATAGCAGCTTATTCCTGTGGCAGATGCTCACTAAATGTCTGTTATCATGTCTCTCATCTTTGCAAACTTTGTGTTCATCGTGCAGCTCAAGATCTTTGCCCTTATTTCCACTGCATTCAAGTGGAATTTTTACAATTAAATTCTTCTTGGCTTAAAAAGCAAATTCAAGATTATTTAGTGGTGAAAATTTTTATAGCTATTCTTCTAGACATTACTCCAAATCTTTTGGAGATATTTTTGTATTAATTGAGTCAACTTAGTGTAACTGATTTTCACATCTTTCAAAAAATTGACTCAAGAAAAAATTTAACCCAAAACTTCTTATTGTCCAAAACAGAAGTAAGGTCATTGTACACTTAAAAAATTTTGTTAGTGATAGCCCTTGTACTCAGGGCCTGTGTACTGTCCCTAAGCTCTTTTGCTCAAGGCTAGCACTCTACCAATTTGAGCTATAGTGTCACTTCCAGTTTCCTGGTGGTTAATTGGAGATAAGAATCTCACAGACTTTCTTGCCTGAGCAAGAAAATATAAGAAGGAAAACCCAGACCAGCCCAGTGTGCTGGTAGATTACCTACTTAACAGATGTGAGGCTTGCATTCTAGGCTCAGTATATTTAAAAAATTGAATTTTAATATAAGTGGTTCTTCAGTATTTATTTCAGATTTATGAAACTCGTATTAATATTGCTATTCCAGAAGTGAGCAAGTTATAGTGAAAACTTCTCTACAATTCCAGACAGATCTAATATTCTAATTCTATGCCAAACTCTGCCCTGATATAATAATTCATGGCCTTAATTAGCCACTCATTTTGTAATTTAATGTATGAACATGAAATAGTCAATAGAATTCAGCTATGTTAACTAGTTTACTTGGTAATTAATAAAAAGTAATTAGGCAATCATGGTCTTAAAATCATCGCTTCTACTATTGGCAGTAGTGACTGCCAATAAACACAGAAATGAACATTCCTGAATTCTACTTCATTGAAGAGAAATTAGTCATTGACAAATATATATATATATATATACATATGCATATGCACAGGTATAGACAATAGCCAGATTCTTTAGCATCACAAGGCTGTTTATTTCATTACCATCTAACTCTCTTCTTGGAATTTCTCTCTTCTAGTTGTTTCTATGAGATTCCAACATAATGAATGTCACTGAAGTAACTCTCTTTGTACTCAAGGGATTCACAGACAGCCACGGATTGCAGATTGTCTTCCTCTTCCTGTTTCTCGCCATCTACCTTTTCACTCTCCTGGGAAATTTGGGACTGATTGTGTTGGTCCTTGGGGATTCTCGACTCCATAACCCCATGTACTATTTCCTGGGAGTCCTGTCTTCAGTAGATGCCTGCTACTCTTCTGTCATCACCCCAAATATGCTAGTAGATTTTATGTCAAAGAAGAAAGTCATTTCAGTCTCTGGGTGTGCAACACAGATGTTTCTTGCGGTTATGTTTGGGACCACAGAATGTTTTCTGTTGGCTGCCATGGCTTATGATCGCTATGTAGCCATCTACAACCCTCTCCTCTACACAGTGAGCATGTCACCCAGAGTCTATGTACCCCTCATTATCGCCTCTTATATTGGTGGATTTGCTCATGCCATTGTACACACGGTGGCCACTTTCAGACTGTCCTTCTGTGGATCCAATGAAATCAGACACATCTTCTGTGATATCCCAGCTCTCTTGGCAATTTCTTGTTCTGACACTCATTTAAACCAGCTGCTCCTCTTCTACTGCGCGGGGTCTATTGAGCTGGTCACCATCCTGATTGTCCTGGTCTCCTACGGCTTCATTCTGGCTGCGATCCTGAAGATGCGTTCTGCTGAAGGGAAGCGAAAGGTCTTCTCTACCTGCGGCTCTCACCTGACGGCAGTGTCGATTTTCCACGGCACGGTTCTTTTCATGTATGTGAGACCCAGCTCTAACTATGCCCTGGAGCATGACATGGTCGTGTCAATATTTTATGCTATCATGATTCCTATGTTGAATCCCCTAATATACAGCTTGAGGAATAAAGATGTAAAGCAGGCGATGCAGAAGTTATTTAGAAAATATTTTCTTGCACTAAAATAGCACTGGGAACCTTGAAAATAATGTTGCCTGTGTCCATAGGGGAGGATATGATGAGGATCTTTGCTTGAACTTATGGCTAATATTATCTTCTTGAATAGTTTAAAAATAAAGATTATATTCTATCTTATGTCCTGCTCTGTTTTGAATGCAGAAGAACAGTGATTTGGGCATATGGTTTATACCAGGTTTACACATATATTCACATATTAAGGTATGGATGCTGATGCTGACATCGTCTGGAATACATAAAAGTTTCCCAGAATCCAAGCCACATGGCCTCATGCCTGTCACCTCAGCAACCCGGGAAGTAGAATTCTATCTCAAGCCTACCTTTGGCCAAGAATTAGCATGATAAGCTAATTTCAGGCCATTTATAAAATGAGTATGGTGATGCACACCTGTAATCCAAGTACCTAGAAAGCCCTAGGTAAGAGGGGATGAGTTCCAGGTATATTTTAGATATGAGACCCTTGTCCATTGTATGGCTAGTAAAGATCTTGTACCAATCCGTGGGCTTTCTATTGATCTTGCTAACTATGTCCTTCGTCATGCAGAAGCTCTGTATTTTCAAGCAATCCCATTTGTCCAACTTTTCTTTGATTTGTTGTGTTTCTGAGTCTCTTTTAAGAAAATTTCAGCCTGTACCAAGGAGACCTAGGGTTTCTCCTATTCCATCCTGTAATGTTTTCATAATGTCTGTTTTGACTCCAAGGTCTTTGATACATTTGGAGTTAAATAGGGATACAGGTGGACCCATTGCACCAATGAGATGTACAAGATCTTATGTGGAAAATGAACTATACATCTTTAGTGTGGGGGCATGGGGGAAGATGGGAAAGGATGGTAAGGGGGAGGCAACAATGCTTGATAAGAAATGCACTCATTAACTTGCCCGTATAGTTGTAACCCCTCTGTAGGGTATTTTCACAATTAAAAAATACAAAAATACATAAAATAAATAAGAAGAGGGGATGAACTCAGGCTGAGGTTAGTCCAGGGGAAAAATTGAAAACCTACCTAAAAGACAAATATCAGTTGCAAGTGTGTGATTCAAATATGAGGACCTGAGTTCAACCAGGGTACCACAAAAAAAATCACACAAACAAGCATACATAAATATAAGCTTTACTTCAAAATGGTGTATGTATATACATATATGTATATAAATGGTTTCCTAGAATCCTAAAATCTCTATTAAAATAAACTGTAGTCTACTACAGTTAGAATTATGAATAATGGAAATGTTCTAGCTGATATAATTAAGCTATATTAATATTAAAAAAACTATGCTCTCAAACAAAAACAGTGCTCTCACAAGAGACTTCTCCTAATGACCAGAAGTCATTGCTACCAGTCCTTTGTCAAGCACTCTGCTTCATTTGCAGGAGCATGCAACAACCTGAATGTCAGAGAAAACTGAGAGTGGGGAAAAACTTCTGGGATTTATCACTGAGTTGGAAATTAGGTTGGGTTTCTTCTGTTTTAAACCCCTATTTCAGTTCCTCACTAAATGGAGAGAAAAGGCTTTAACATTTTCCAACCACATACTTAAAATCAAGAATAACGAAAAAAAACAAGAATAAGAAAATAAAGAAAAACACCCTCTCTCACTGCCCAAGGCCAAGATCAAATTACAGAAGTGTGTCTCTAATGTGCTCAGGTATTATTTATTATTTACCATTCAGTTTTCATACATGTTCATAAAATACTACAACCATGTTCACCATCCTTCATTCTCTCCATTCTCCCTCCCCTCTCCCTTTGGTATCCATCGCTTATCAGACACTGTCTTATAATACTTTCTTTAAAAATTTTAGTGCATATTGATTGTACCAAGGGCTTTGATCACTGTATTTCATACAGGCATTCATTATACTTCAATCAGATTAAAAGCTACAGTTTCGCACTCTTTCTATTTCCCCCAAGCCTTCTAATATTTGACAACTCCCTGTGAATTTGCTTGTCCCATCTTGAAACATAAATGCCATGAGTTTTGATATTATTCATCACCCCTCAGCCATGGTTGCTGTTTGCTTTTCTCTCCCTCTAAACTACCAAATATCTTAAAATTTCAATAGTGTTATATATATATATATGTTTATATATGTATATGTACATATATGTAAACATTCCATATTTATAAAAACACACATATGTCTCTTATATTTTATAGATGAAGAAAAGTCCTGACTTTTGTCCTTCCAAACTGCTCATTTCACCTAATATGATGATCTGATCTGTTCCATCTAATTTCCTGCAAATGATAAAATTGCACTTTTCTTTATAGCCAAATAACACTCTATTGGCTACATATATCACATTGTTTGTCCTCCTTACCAGTTGTAGGGCATCTGGACTCTTTCCATAATACTGAATGGATGTAGGAATATCTTCATTGTATCCTGGCTTTCAATCCTTGGGAATATGCCCAAAGGTGGTATTGCTGAATCACATGTTAGTTCTATATTGTTATATTTATGAACTTCCATAATGATTTTCAGAAGAGTGGTTCAAATTTGCATTCCCACCAACAGTCTATAAAAGTTCCTTCAAATTGAGGCTTTTTTTCCTTTGTTGTTCTTTTTGTTTTCTTTTCTGTTAGACTTGTTTGTTGGTTTATCTGTATTGGGGAGTATAAGGAGGCACAGGAATGGAGAGACAAAGCATGTACAAATACAGCAGTGATACTCATTAGACACTACGTGGAAAATAAACTATACCACTTGTAGGTGGGGATGGAAGGGAAACACTGGGAGAGAGTGAGGGAAGGGGTAACATTGTTTACAAAGAAATGTACTCATTGACTGACTTATGTAACTCTAACTCAGCTGCACATCAACTTTACAATAAAAATTAATAAATTAAAGGTAAATAAATAAAATAGTAATTTAAACCTAAAAAGTTGTTTTTTCCCACATATCCTTGCCAGCATTTGATGATGTTTGTGTTCTTGACATTATCCATTCTGATTGGAGTGAGATGAAATGTAGCAGATTTCATGGTGTATTTATTCATGTTTTTGTTGGACATATGTACTTCCTCTTTTAAGAACTGTCTGTTCTTTTCATTTCCCATTGATTAATTGTGCTTTGTGTGTGTAGTTTTATAAGCTCCCTGCATATTCTGTTTATATTTGTGTATATCTGTGTATATTTTAGAGTTGGGGAATCTATTCTTCATTTTGTTGACTCTTTTCAGTTTAGTGTCTATTTCCTTTTCCCTCAAAAAATTATGCAATCCTATTTGTCAATCCTTGCTCTTCTTTGCTCAGTTAATGCAGTTACATCCACAAAACTTCATAGGTAAGCATTTATTAACCTTGTATCTTGCAACCTCAATAAAATGATTTCCAGAAGATTTATTTTCTTTGCCATTATGTGATGTGCTAACAATATTTTATTCATTTCTTTCTCCCAGCATTATATATAATCCAATTTGTCAATCTCATTCTTTTTGCTGAGCTACTGATTCACTACACAGTCTGTTATGCCTATGTCTAGATATTCCAAGATTTTCTCTGTTTTTCTGTGGTACTTTCAAAATTTTAGGTATGAAATTAAGGTATTTGGTCTTAAGGCATTTGATTCAGTTTGAACTATTATTCTTGCAGGACCTAAGAGAGAAATCTAGTTACAATCTTCTATATGTGAAGATTGAGCTTTTTGACACCATTTATTTATACTGGTTCATTTTTCAATATATGTTCGTGATTCCATTGTCAAAAGTCAGCTTATTGTAGCTATATGGAGTTGCTTTTTGGCTTATGTCCTATTTCATTGTCGTCTGTTTATGAGCCAGAATCATGTTGCATTTGTTACTGAGGCTCTGTAGTATATTTGGAAGGTGGGTATTATGTTACCTTCATTGATCTTTTGTTTCTCATTTTCACAGCTCAAAATTGTCACTTTGAAACTATTATTTTGAATGCATCTTTGCCATCAATGTTCACTTTATGTATCAATTATACCCAGACAATATCCTTACAATATAGAATGAACTGAACAAATATTTTCTTGAAATTGGATTAATAAATTTAAAGAACCCTTGTATAATACAAATGAAGGTCTTCTATTAGAGTTTATTTGTAGGTAATATTTTCAGATTTATGTTGCCCTTGAATCCTTTTCTTTGATACATTACATAACTCCTTCCCTCAAATACAAAATAAATCAAGGTCACTGACCTGCAGTGTTTTGCAAATCTATACAATGTAAATTAGGACTGACTTTGTCTATATCTGTTTACACATATGTCTAAGTGTATTTATATTATCAACTATAAAGTACTTCTTCAATCAGAACTGAAAATTACAAATTGTGACATTTTTGCTTACTAAAATTTTAATCTATGTCATAGAAATCAAAAATATAAGACTGAACCTCTAACTTGAAAAGATGCTTCCATAAATATACTTATTGAATTAATAAAGAATAGACAGTGAACCTGTAGGAGAATGTAACACTAATAAATTGGTTTGGGCTTTCTTGAATCATTTACTCCAATTTCTGGCATGGAAATAGGAAATATTCCTCCCATTTTCTTTATTTTTACCATATTATACTAAATTAAATCCTTGATAAAATTATAGAAAGTTGTAGACTTTTCCCACATTTTAATTTGTGTAAATTAATAAAACAAAGGGGTATTATTATGACATGTCTGTATAAGCATACAGCATAATTTGATCATATTCACACCCTCCATTACTTTCATCCTCTGTACCAAACTTAACATCAATAGCCTTCATTGTTGCATTGTTTCATATGTCTATAAAGTATTTTGACTATATTCTCTGCATATGATGAATCAAATTTATTATCAAGAATAATCACCCATTGTAATGATCAAAATTATTTTATTAATGAAAATTCACCTGTCATCAAATTACTGTTTCAACTTAAAGGGGTTGTTTTTGTGACCGTTATTTTATTTTTAAGGTTGTACAATGACCACTCTTATCCAGAACTAAAATATTTAGATCAGCAAATGTAACTTCCTTC